TTCAACATCTTCATTAAATTTGGGAGTGTTATCCTGGGATTCCCAACATAGAACAACAAGTCATCCGCAAAGGCAGCCACTTTGAGCTCTATATCTTCTATCTGAATTCCCTTTACATCTCTATTATTCCTTATTGTTGACAACAAGGGTTCCAATGACAGAACATATAACAGTGGGGACAATGGGCAGCCCTGTCTTGTTCCATTTGACATCTTGATGGATTCCAACCTCTCCCCATTTACCATAATAATTGCGGAGGGTTACCTATACAATTTTCCTATCCACTCTCTCATTCTGTCTCCAATCCCTAGGGCTTCCAGGGTGTCCATCATGAAGCCCCAATCCACTCTATCAAATTCCTTTTCGGCATCAATTGAGAGCACCACCACCAGAGTTTTTCCTTTTCTACTTTTCTGAATAAGCATCAGAGATCTCAACCCATTATCTTTGCCCTCTCTCCCTGGAACAAAGCCGACCTGATCCCCATGTATCCATTTGGGCATAAATTCCTTCAGTCTATTTGCTAAGACCTTTGCGTATAACTTAGTGTCCGTGTTCAGTATTGAAATAGGTCTATAACTCGAACATTGAGAAGCATCTTTTCCTTCTTTGTGGAAAAGCACAACATGGGCCTGTGGAGATTCTCCTCTTACTTCCATCCCTCCTCCCAAAGCATTCATATATCTTTTAAGCTTAGGTATTAATAGTTCACTGTATTTTGTATAGTACCTCACAGTGTAACCATCTGGTCCTGGGCTTTTCCCCGATGCTGTGCTTTTTAATGCTGCTTTTATTTCTTCCTGTGTAATTTCTGCATCTAGGGAATCCAGTTGTATTTCGCTTAATTTTGATAGGCCCACATTCTCTTTTGAATCCTCTCAATTTCAGTTTCAGTATTTTTTTAAAGAGTCACGGGGACAGATATTATACAACTTTCTATAATATTCCATAAATACTTTAGCAATTTCTTTAGTTGAATAGACCAGTTCACCCTTAGAGCTTTTTATTTTTTCTATATAGTTCCTATTTTTCTATTTCCTCAAGGCTCTCATTAAATATTTTCCTGGTCTATCTCCCCATCTATACCTCTCACTTAGTACTTTATTATAGACTCTTCTCCTCTCCTCCTCCATCAAAGTCTCTAGTTCTTCTTTCTTTTTTATTACCTTCTGCCTTATTTCTTTTGTTATTCTATTTTTTGTGTATCTGTTCCAAGTCACATATTTTCTTTTAAAAGCCCCCTAACTTTCTCTCTTCTTTCTTTTTGTTTTTTTGCCCGAATCGCAATCAACATTCCCCTTATATATGCCTTATGAGACTCCCACTCTGTGGCTATCGACACATCTTCTGTCTCATTCTCCTCAAAAAATCACTTAATCTCTTCCCCCAATCTTCTGAGCAATATCTTTATCTAGGAGAAGTGCCTCATTCAGCTTCCATTTTAGACCTCCTGCCACCCTCCTTCCCCACTCCGTTTTCATTGTGACAGGGGCATGATCTGAAAAAGACATTGCTTCTATTTCTACCTTAACCACAGACTCAATGAGTTTGATGCTCTATCAATATATAATCTAGTCTCGAGTACATCTCATGAACATTTGAGAAGAAGGTATAGTCTCTCTCATGCATATGTGTAATTCTCCAGATATCCACCAGTTGACACGCATGTATTTCTTTCTTCAATATTCTCAGAGCCTTACACCCCTCTCTCTGCACAGAAGAGGGTGCATCTTTTTGTGGATCCATAGAAAAATTAAAGTCTCCAGCCAAAATCAAGCGGCCTTTTTTAAAGTCCATCAGCTTCCTCAGCACACTTTTCAAAAATATCTCTGGCTTTTTGTTTGGACAGTAAATATTAGCCATTGTACACTCAATTTCTTGTAGTTTACCTCTTAAAAACAAAAAATCTCCCTTCCAGATCCATCTTCCTATCCTCCAGCTCAAACCTAATATTCTTTGCAAACCCTATTGCTACTCCCTTTGCTCTCATAATCGGGGAATCTGCATAGTACCATGCTGGGTAATACCTAGATTTTAACTTAACATTTGACTATCTCAAAATGTGTCTCCTGCAAGAAAACCACTGAAGATGCTCTATGTTGTAGCTCTTTAAATAGTCTAAATCTTTTCCCAGGACAATTCAACCCATTTACATTATAAGTTATAAACTGTATTTCTTCCATCTTTCTTAAATCTCCCCTCTTCTCCTCCATCCATGCTCCTTCCTTATTCCTTGGTTTTATATCTCCTTCAATCATGCAGGAAGTTGACCCCAATACCCCTTCCCCCACCCCCCATCCTCCTCCCCCCTCTCTTTTTAGGCTTCTAGTATGCCTACCAATCATTTGTGGGCCTACTCCCACCTTTGATTTAATTCTTGGGGCTAAACTCTGCTCATGAACGGCTCTCCCTCTTTCCAACCCCCCCAATTACCCCCGAGCTATCTACTTGACTCAGTAAGTTTCCACAGACCTCTAAGACTAGGAATCTAGAAGGGATATCGCAAGGGAGAGAAGGAGACCGGAAGGGAAAGCAAAAGAAAAAATTTCCACTCTTCCTCTTCCTCCCCTACCTTCCCCCCCACCTTCCCCCCCTAACAAGCTGCCAATCCTCTTTTCTTATAGTTCTAATTTCTTCTTCTTCCCATTCAGCAATTTCCATTCTTTGCAATTCGAGTCTATCACAAAAGTCTCTCAAGTCCTCGAAATCTCAGATAAGCTGTAACTCTGTTTTTCCATCCTATTAGGCACTCTGGGTCCCCCATCTTTAATGCACGTTCTGCTTTCTCATCTGCTCTAACAGGGGTTTCAGGGATCTCCTTCTCCACAAAGTCTCAGGTATTAGGTCTGCAAAAATCTGAATGTCTATTTCTCCATACTTAATTGTTGTTCTTCCTTTGATCTTCCTCCAAATTTCTTTTTTATCCCGATACTTATGAAATTTAACAATTATATCTCTCGATGTTTCCTTCCCAATACTTTGTTGGAGTTTTCCTATTCTAAAAACTCCATCTAATTTAATCACTTCTATATCTGATCTGTCCATTATGGAGCTTAAGATTTTACTTACTACTTCTTGCAATACTTCTCCCTTTGAAATCTCTGGGACCCCTCGTATCCTAAGATTGCTTCTCCTGTCCCTGTTTTCCTGTACCTCTACCTTATAAAGCAACTTTTTCTGAACTTTTCCCTTGTTGGTTATCTTCTTTTCTAATTCGGAAATGTTTTGTGCCTGATCTTTAACTTTCTCCTCCATTTCTTCCACTCTCATTAACAGCTGTCCCAAATCATTCCGAATAGTTGCCATTTCTTGCTTTATTGTTTTCTCTAATTCTTTGAACATTTCTGCCATCTCTTTTTTATTCGGTACTTGTAGGTCTCTTTCAAGCTCTTTCATCTCCATATTTCCTGATATTTGTTGACTGCTAACATTCAAGCCCAACGATAGTCTAGGACTATTTTCCAGACTGAGATCCACTTCTCCTTTTTCATTTATGCCTTGTGGCCTTTCTGGGGTCACATTTCCCTGGGAAGTATATTTTTTATTTGTGCCAGTTTGGGACCCTTTGAGCCCACTTCCTTTAGCACTTTTGTTCTTTATATCTTCTGTGGGTCTTATTCTCTTTTATAAACTCGGAGTAAGTAAAGGTTAAATATATATACTCGGGTCTCAGCCTTGCCTGGTTATTTGTCCATTAACTTTCCTTTCTATGTCACTTAGTCCTCTTCTCCTTTCAACTCCTTTGTATTCCCTAGGAATCCCCCTTTCTCTCCTTCACTCTCTGCTTTTCTAAACAGCACAGTGTAACATTTGGCATATATCAAGCCACAGCCAGTCTCAGTCACCCTCCTCTCTCTTCTCCTCTTGCGAGACTGCTCCAGGTTTCAGATGCCAGTCCTTTCAGCAGTTCATTCCTCAGGGGGATTCCTCAGAGTCATCTCTGGTTGTTGACACAAGAATGGGGCATTTAGGCTCCTCTTCAGCTCTGGCAGCAAGCCCGATAGCGAACCAAGGAGCGGACCGGCGTCTCCTTCTCTCCACAGGACGCCGGCCGGCTTCCTCACCTCCCAGTATGCCCCAGCGGCTGACCACGTGGTCAAGTAACGCCTCCCTGTCTCCCCGCAACCCGACACAGCGTCTCTCGTCCGGGCCCCGGACAGACCGTACTCCGTCTCTCATTTCTGGTCCACCGCACTAGAAGACAGGCACAGATCCGAAGAGACCCCTCAAACAGAGGTAGGTCTCACCCCGCTGATCTCCTTCATCGCGAGGGCTCCTGGGAAAGTCGTAAAGCAGGGCTTGTCAGGGAGCTCCTACATCGTGCCCTCCTCAGCCGCCATGGTCAGGCTCCACACCCCGATTGTATCTGTCTCCTCCATGCTCTTGAGACTGTGCTGGGAGACACAGCAAACCTTCTGGCAATGGCACGTATTAATATGCCATCCTGGAGAAGTTGGACTGCCTGTGCAACCCCTGTAGGCTTCAGGTATTGCCTCAAACTACCAGTAGTGACACTAACCCTGACCCTAGCCACATGCAAAACTAGTGAAAAACAGCCAGAAAAGATGAGTAGGGAATAAAAAAATGTCAGTGGCCTCCACCTGTCAAACCATTCCTGTTTCGGGGGGTTGTCTCATTGTTGCCTATCTAGTGCACCTGTTGTTAATTTCATTAATACCAAAGCAGCTGAAACTGATTAACAACCATTAAATGACCAGATCAATGTCTCAGGAGTTTAATTAACTTGATACTATACTCTGATTAAAAAGTGTTCCTTTAATTTTTTGAGCAATATATATATATATATATATTTATATTTATTTGCACACACTAGCATCCTATTATTTCACATTTTTGCAGATATGAGACAGGCATACTTGTTTGCTCATCTATTTTAAATGACTCAATATGTGCTCAGTATAACAAAACAAAAACAAAATAAAAAAAGAAAAGACAAAACTAATCTTTTTCTACAGTTCAGCACATCATTGACTAAGTACCCTGGCTTTGATGATTGTAGGTCTTGGGTCCAGGATTCCCTGCATCTTTCTTAGTGCTGGTACAACAAAAAGATTACAGGTAACTACTGCTGACACAGGGTTGCCTACAAGGAAGCAAAAAAATAATAATAATCAAGATTATTATTGTACAGAATTTATACTGTGCCAACATTCTCTTCAGTGCTTTACAATATAAAGGAAGACAGCACAGTTATAATATAACTCAATACAAGAGGGTTAGAAGGGCCCCGCTCATGAGAGCTTACAATCTAATAGGGAGGGGCAAATGCTACACAAGGTAATAACTGTGAAGGATAAGATGATGGAAGAAACAAAAGCTTATTTGTTAGGAGGAGGTGGAAGGGCTTCCCTGAAGAGTTGAGTTTTCAGGGATCTTCAAAAAGGTAGACATAGTAGCAGATACTTGTACAGATTGAGGTAGAGCGTTTCAGAGGATTAGAGAGACTAATCCTAGAGGCTAGAGAGGAGACAAGAGGGACAGAGAGCAGAAGGGAGATGTGTAGATGAAAGTTTGGTTGACATATTAATATGAGATTGGTAATGTACTTTAGGGCAGAGTTGTAAATGGTTTTGTATGGTGTTGTTAGTATTTTTAATTGTTTTTGTAGGGCAAATAGAAGCCAGTGGAGAGATTAGCAGAAAGGGGTGGAGGATATTAAGTAGTTGGTAAGATTGAGTCTGGCAGCAGCATTCATAGACTGAAAGCGGAAAAGCTTGTGTAGAGATGGGCCTATGAGAAGGGGGTTGCAATATTCAAGGCGAGACATAACAAGGAAGTGAAAGAGTAGCTTGGTGGTTTAATTGGTTAAGAAGGTGTGTATTTTGGAGATGTTGTGGAGGTGAAATTTACAAGATTTTGACAGTGATTGGATTTGGAGCTAAAACAACACTTAGCACCCTGGCATGATGGGAAGGACTTATTTTTTTATCTTGGTAGAAAAAGTCAGGAAAGAGGGTATGGGGGGGGATTCAATATTACGAGTTAAGTTTTAGAAGGATTTAATTTGAGGAAGAAGTATTACATCTATATTGATATATAACATGCAAGAGGAGACTGAGGGAGTGAAGTGAGGAGTAGAAAGACAGATTTGGGTGTCATCAGCATATTGATGGTTTTGGAAGCCGTGGGAGGTTATCAAGTAACCAAAGGATGATAGAGGTGAGTAGGGGTCTGAGGATAGAGTCTTGGGGAATCCCTACAGAAAGTAGAAGTGAGGAGGAAGAGACAGGTTTGTAGGCAAAACTGAAGGAAGGCTGTGATAGGTGGGAGAAGAACCAGATAAGAACAGTCTTGGAGGCCAAAGGAGTGGAGTTTATTGAGCTGGAATGGGTAGTCAACAGAAAAGGTCCTGTAGTATGAGTATGGAGTAATGGCCAGGGGTTTTAACCTTCAATTTAAAAACATAAATCAGCCTGTAAACATTTTGTGACTCTAATTTATCAATCCGGGAGTTTAAAAGGTGGATAAATTGATTTTTTTTCTTCGATATGGATGAATGGTTAGCTTTAGATGGTCATTTGCCAAGACCATAATTGCAGCAGATGAATCATTTTGCCATCCCCAGCTACATTGCTTCCATGGTGATTCATTGTGATATGATCCAACTCTGACAAAGGGTGACTGCAACATATGTACAGTGACAGAAAAAAACGAAGATAACAGACAATCTAACAATCAGAAGAGCTAATTTTCACCATCTAGAGAACCCTTACATGGCCTAATTGACAAGTAGTACTTGAATTTATCACATTAGACAGTAGGTTGTGCTGTGCAAAGGCACTGCCAAAAAGGCATTTACAGATAGAAAACATCTACATAAAATATATTATATATGCTTCTTACCTGGGAGTGCAAATATAATTTTCCTAACGCCATCAATATCCAAGGTTGCAAAGGTGGTTGGCAGGCTATAAGATAAAAATGTGGTTTCTTTAAGAAAATGTGCCTTTCCTTTATTTTTATACTATATTGGTTCAGGCTGTAATTACAGAAAGCTAAACACATTTGGGTAAAAATATTACCATAGACAATACAAAGACCTTTTATAAAAATAAAAGGTGAACTCTTTGTGGAACTCCTGCCACATGTCCTTCTTAGGAATCTTTTCCCCTTAATTCCCATCCTAATGATAATAGAACAATGGGACAATGTGACAGAAAGTCAAACAAAATCTCTTTTATTTGACTAAGGATGGAAAACTTTCTACATTCGGAAGTTCTACTTTAAAACTTTTATATATAATTTATAATTTTTTAATATATGCACTTTTTGTATTTTCTGACTGTCATGTATTTGAATTAAGCCAAGTATTCATTTGCAGTAAGGAATCCATATGTAACAAAAAATGTGAACCTAAAAGGTTCTTAGGTTTTGCTCTTGGTTGCACAAATAGAATTAAGGCTGCAATGTCAATCTCAATGGCTTCCCTACAGAGAGCTTCTTCAGTGAAAGATTGTCACATCACCCTTTTGACATTGTTGTTCCAATGTGAAGGGTTCAAGACTCTCTTTAAAGTGTAAGCAATTGGTAAAAAAAAGACAGATAAGTAATACAGCCATCAGGGAATACCGTTTCCATGAAGGGGTGGTACATGTTAAAGTAACATCCCCATGAATGGCAGGACCCAAGGTAGCAGAACATTGCCCAAAGTATCACACTGCCTCTGCTGGCTTGCCTTCTTCCCATGCTGCTACCTGGTGCCATCTCTTCCCCAGGTAAGCAACATACACGCACCTGCCCATCCACATGATGTAAAAGAAATTGTGAATAATCAGATCAGACAACCTTCTTCCACTGCTATGTGGTCAAGGTCTGATGTTCACATGTCCATTTTTTGGCACATTTGGCTGTGGACATGGGTCAGTGAGGGCACCTTGACGGGTCTCTGCAGCTATACAGTTGCAAGAAAAAGTATGTGAACCCCTTGGGATTATGTGGAGTTTTGCATGAATTGGGCATAAAATGTGCTCTGAACATCATCTAAGTCACAACAATAGAAGAACACAGTCTGCTGAACATAATACTACACAAACATTAGATGTTGCCATGGTTTAATTGCACATAACATGTAAACATTCACAGTGCAGGGAGGAAAAAGTATGTGAACCTTTGGACTTAATAACTGGTTGACCCTCCTTTGGCAGCAATAACCTCAACCAAACGTTTCCTGTAGTTGCAGATCAGACCTGCACAACGATCTGGAGTCATTTTGGACCACTCCTCTTCACAAAACTGTTTCAGTGTAGCAATATTCTTGGGATGTCTGGTGTGAATCGCTCTCTTAAGGTCATGCCACAGCATTTCAATCGGGTTGAGGTCAGGACTCTGACTGGGCCACTCCAGAAGGCGTATTCTGTGCTGTTGCAGCCATTGTTTTGTTGAATTACTTGTATGCTTTGGGTCATTGTCCTGTTTCATCACCCATCCTCTGCGGAGCTTCAGTTGGCGGACAGATGGTCGTACGTTTTCCTGCAAAATGTCTTGATAAACTCTGGAATTCATTTTCCCATCAATGACAACAATCCGTCCAGACCCTGAGGCAGCAAAGCAGCCCCACACCATGATGCTCCCTCCGCCATGTTTTACAGTGGGGATGAGGTTTTGATGTTGGTTTGCTGTGCCTTTTTTTCTCCACACATAGTGTTGTGTGTTCTTCCCAAACAACTCAATCTTGGTTTCATCTGTCCACAGTATATTTTGCCAGTAGTGCTGTGGAACATCCAGGTGCTCATTTGCAAACTTCAAACGTGCTGCAATATTCTTTTTGGACAGCAATGGCTTCCTTCGTGGTGTCCTCCCATGTACTCCATTCTTGTTTAATGTTTTCCTTATTGTAGATGTGTCAACAAAAATGTCAGCATGTGTCAGAGATTTCTGTAGGTCTTTAGCTGACACTCTGGGATTCTTCTTTACCTCATGCAGCATTCTGCGCTGTGCTCTTGCAGTCATTTTTACATGACGACCATGCCTAGGGAGAGTAGCAACAGTGCTAAACTTTCTCCATTTGTAGACAGTCTGTCTTACTGTGGACACATGAACATCAAGGCTTTTGGAGATACTTTTGTAACCCTTTCCAGCTTCATGCAAGTCAACAACTCTTGATCGTAGGTCTTCTGAGAGCTCTTTTCTAAGAGGCATGGTTCACATCAGACAGTGCTTCTTGAAACCAGTAAACCCAAAACAGGTTTGTGTTTTTTAAGGGCAAGACAGCTGTCAGCAACACATCCAATATCATCACACTGATTGGAGTCAAGGTTGGCACACTCCTGGCTCCAATTAGCTCTGGGAGAAGTCATTAAGCTAGGGCCTCACATACCTTTTCCTCCCTGCACTGTGAATGTTTACATGTTATGTGCAATTAAACCATGGCAACATCTAATGTTTGTGTAGTATTATGTTCATCAGACTGTGTTCTTCTATTGTTGTGACTTAGATGACGTTCAGAGCACATTTTATGCCCAATTCATGCAAAACTCCACGTAATCCCAAGGGGTTCACATACTTTTTCTTGCAACTGTATAGTCCCACACACAACAAACTGTGCAATGCCAATTTTTCTGATTTCAACACATTAACTTCAGGGACAACATGTTTACTTGCTGTCTATTCCACTAACTTTCTAATGCCGTTGTAATGTTATCCATTAGCTCTCTGGCAAAAAGTGAGGCACTGGGTATGAGACCTGGAACATGTACCTGCATTGCTAGGGTCCAGCGATGCTTATGTTTCTTTCCATACTGGAGGAATCTTAACCAAGCAAAGCTGCAGAGATTTCCTGCCTCTTTAAGACACTCACCTAAAAACCAGGTACGGGGTATGGCCACTAGAGGAAGCCGAACCTTTTTTGTTTCTATGTAACAATCTTGTAAGTGGTAATATCGTCCTTAAAATGTTTTACGATGCACCATCATGACAAAACCACAAGTAAAGATATCCTACATATAAAAAGAGGGCAGGTGTGCTCTATATATAGGAAGCAATCCTGTTCCACCTGCTGCCAAATAACCTGCACTACTTAGATGACAGCATAAATAATAATTTAATGATAGAAAGCATGCAATCCATGAAAAGGATGACAGATTAAAAATTAGAGCATTTGATTAACCTCCCTAGCGGTATTCCCAAGTGTAGCTCGGGGTAAAATGTCTGTACCAAAAGCGGTAACCCTGAGCTACACTCGGGCTTACCATGCGGCGCTGCATAGGGAGTCCCTGCAGAGCTTACCTTGTCCTTCGCTCCCGCGATGTGTTCCCTGCAGCGTCCCCGGCCATCTCCTCTGGCTGATGCCGGCATCCGGCTCCTGTGTTCCAGTCCCTGTGACGTCGGGACGTACGGGCGCCGCCGGCGGTGGGAAATTTGAAAATTTTTAAAACGATTTTACATAGTAAAACATTGCTGTTTCAACCCATTTCACATACATTTTGTCCCTAGTGCTTTGTCCTGTCCCCTGTCTGCATTTTGACTGTTCTTTCTGCCTGGAAACTTAGAAAAGTCCATGGCGTCCAAAAAGCGTCCCTTTAGGTCAAAAGCGGGTTTAGATCAGCTAGAGAACAGCATAGGTAAATCAGAACCACTTGCAGAATTGAGTGATAATGATTCGTGGAGAAATTCGTCATCGGACACTGAAAACAATTTTGCGACTTTGCTCAGCGATGTGCGAACTTGGCGCTATATTTCAAATTTCAGTGTTTTTGGTTTGATTATATTATTGAATTAAATGTATTATTATTATATTATTATTTTTTATGATTATTTATTAAATTATAATTTATGATTTTGTGTTTCAAATTTTATCATACCCGGGATGTTTAATAGACTCTTGTTCGGACAGATTTCAGTGAGTTATTCCTAACTATTACAACCTACAATAAAAAAACTACATATTTCCATGCAAAATAATGGTACCGCTTTCAGCACCAAAAATCTGAAATAATCATACCGCTAGGGAGGTTAAAGGAAATATGTACAATGAGAAATATGGAGGTTGCCACTGCCAATCTCCTGTTCTGAAAATACTAGTGGCCTGGCAGATTGAAAAGATTTACAGTTGATTTATACAGTCTACTAGTGCCATCCTCCATACTGAGCCGCTGGCAGATGCGTGTGCATTCACCTCGGAGCTGCACGAAGGCAGCCCATAGAGGTGGATTCACACACTGCACCAGCATGGTCACAATTGCATGTGAATGTTTGACATGCAGGCATCCACATACCACTTTTGCATTCAGGAAGAAGCACCATACAGACATGTACAGGTAAACACGATGCAGCGTTTACTTAAGAATGGCTGTGTACCACCATTCACATGTATTGGAGCCTGTATGTGGTACATAGGAGCTGTTAAGTACCTGTGTGCATGAAGCCTAATGCGGCCATCATATCTAAGAAATGGCGAGCTGCAATGTATTACAGTGCTCTTCTTGGGTTTAGATATGCTTTAGGGCAAAAATGAAAGATTAAAAATGACTTACCCTGGCTTCATAAATACTCGACCAAAATGGATTTGTGCATGAAGATCTATATCCAGCACTTGCTTAAGATAGTCCTGTTATGAAAGAAAAATTGAGATGAACTATTCTTGAATCTGCTACTATGAATTTACTAACTTGCCATAAAATACAGTGCCTAAATTCAACTAGAAGGAAGAAAGAATGCCAAGAGACTGGCCAAAAGTAACTCAAATGCTTACATTCATTTTCTAACCTGCCCTACAAAGGAGACAGCTGGATTCCCTATAGCCTCTACTGGCGATTCCCCTGCCACTATCAAATTTTAATGTAGAGGGTTGCAAAGATGTATTTATGTAGCTAGGCATGAGAGATAAGTGGAACAGGAACTATTTATTAAAAAACTAAAAGGCTCATTGACTTTATTTTCCGAAAAAATATCAATACATGTGCAGCTATATAGGTTGTATGCCACTCCCATCTAAAGATGAAACAATGGAACACCAATTTTAACTCTATTTATTATAATCTGATTTCCATCAATTCTCTTAGAAGAATATTTACACACAGTATTAACATATGTATTTTGGCACTTTTAAATATTAATCTGTACAAACTGATTAATTATTGTGTTTACACTGCACACTTTATTTTGCTACTCTGTAGAATTAGTGACCGGTACATTACCATAAATGCGATATAAAACGTTAGTCATTAGAACAGACATTCTAAACATACAGCGGTGAGTAATAACTCTATAGAGTGTATGGATAGGTGAAAAACGTGAAGCATTTGTTAGGTCAGGGGTCTCCAAACTTTTCAGTATGAGGACCATATCCTATATTATACAAATATTTGCAAGCTGGAAAAAACTAAGCTTGATGGAATGAATCCTACTCATCACAGTCCCCCCTACAACAAGGTCCCCATCAGAGTACCCTTCACAACAGGGTCACCCATCAGAGTCCCCCCTACATCAAAGTTTCAATCAGAGACCCTCTTATATACGTGTCCCCCCTTACATCGGGATTTCCATCAGTCATTGCTTACATCCATGTCCCCAAAGACAGTCCCCCTTACATCAGGGTCCACATCAGAGTCCCCCATACATGAGGCTCCCTATAAGAGTCCCCATTACATTAGGATCCCCATCAGAATCCTCCTTACCACTGTAAGGCTTTCAGTGTGGCTGTAGCAGCAGGTAGTTTGGTGATCCCTGTGTTAGATGACAAATCCCTGTGATACATAATGCTCATATTGTGTCACAGCTGGATCCTAACAGGTTGCTTAAAGCAACATCGACACTTTTGGTTTCTATATTGTAAGTAAGCCCATTGTGAGGGCATTGGGTAAACCAGATCTTACATAAAACTGTACAAAATTAAATGACTATATGAAAAATGCGGCCCCATGGTAACCATATTCTTTTGCCCTTTCTTTACCTGACTAAACTAGTATACATCTGGGTGCTATGAGTTACTACGCTTTACACAGGTATTGTATTATAAACTAATAATCACGCATAAATAATTGTATACAGCTTCTTGTTTTACCTTCTCTCCCATGGACACACCACCTGATGTGATGATAACATCAGCACGGCTGATACCTTCATTTAAGGCATTTAATAGGTCATCTGGGCTGTGAAGAGATTGAACCAAAAATAAAATAGTTTTGTATAAAATTAGGGAAAACATCACTTATCAAGCTTATACAGTCAAATAAACCATCAGCAGAAATGCTGTTTCGAGCAGAACTCATGCCAAAAATAAAAGGCTAACAATGAATAACCCATTAGGAGCTAACATAACAAAAGAGGCTTTTTCCACAATAATAACCTTCAATTCCTGCAGTACTTTTTTCGGCTACTAGATGTCCTTAGTCAGATGGTCAGCATTATTCAACCCACTTCCTCCAAGCCCAGGTCATCCTGTAACCTCCCCAGTCTATCACTGGCAAGTGAAAGGAGAAGCAGCACAGCGAGCTCCTTTTTGGTCACCCTGCTTTCTCTTCTTATCCGCAAGCTTTATATAAGCACATGAACCAACTGCCCTCTCATAGTGCATCCTCCTTTCACACTCCAGTCTTGCCATACAAGGACTGAATGCAGAAATTGGGGTGGAAGATATGTTGATATGACACTGCCAGAACTCTTCGATTCCTATGAAACTTCAACTTAGGTCCTATTCACACCTGAGCTTTTTGTAGCTCAAAGCTACAAAAATACTTAATATCCTAAATCCCATGAATTTCAGTGGTCACTGTTCACATATGAGCATCTGATGCTCCAAAAGTGTACATGAGCTACTTTTGAGGCAGATTAGATTGGGCATATTTGATCCCATAAACTTCACAGTAAAAGCTTAAATCATAAACGCCTGGAGCTTAAGTACACATGGTAAACACTAGAAATACACTTCTAAATCTGTCTACGTATATGCGCACAAAAACGCTCAAATAAAGTTGCTCTACTTAGGTATGAATGCAGCCTTTAGGAAGAAAATAGATTTTAAAGAGGGAATGCTGTAAATAATAATATTGATTTACTTCTACAAATATTTAAAATTAAGTGATATCTGGTGATTGAACAGATATCATAGATATAAATGTGTGTGTTTATTAAAGTCCCATGAGGCACTGCAAGATTGACAAGCGTGACTCCCAAAGGCAGGGGCATGATGGGACTTGTAGTTTCGCAACATCTGGAGGGCCACCAGTTTGACACCCCTGATTTAGGGTGTAATGTGGATTATGGGGTTCTTCTGCCCAGTGGCTCTTGTCACATTTAAAATTTAAAATTAGCTGCATCATTCACAGAGGATGAGCAGGGGCCACATTATCAATGGAACTGCACTTGTAGTTCATTGATACTTTCTCCAGCTCTGTAACCAAAAGGCCTTGGTACGAACATGGAACTGGGGGAAGAGTCTGCGGGAACCTGTGGATCGCACCCAAGATCCACTAATGCAGTTTCAATGCTTTACAGCCCCATATGTAAAAAAAATTAAATAAATGCTCATTTTTTTTGCAAATGTGGGCACGTTTATTATTTTTTTTGCAAAAAAAATCATTGTTTTCTGATCAGCTAGTGGTCTGATATAAAATAAAAAAACAAAAAAAAAACGATTTCCACATATACACATTCAAGGTGGATGAGGGAATACTCCCCGCTGAGCTATGGTCCGGCCAATTTTCAATTCCTCTATGGCCAGTTTTAGCTTTTTATGTTTCATTTGTTTAAAAAGTATCTAATTTCTGGCTCTAGGGCCGAGCAGATATTGTAACTTCATGTAATTTTTTCTAGTGTTAGGGCTTGACGCCCTCTGGTTCCACCTCTAGCATTGAAGTTGCTACTGGTCTTCATGTTTGATTTCTATATGCACCAGAACATCACATCCATGCCATGCTCAGGTTTACTTCTGACCTTCACCTGCCCATTGTTGTTTCTCTTATTTTGTCATGATTTGATGATGTACTTTGTACGATATTGTATACATCTTTCTGGTATCCAAGTTACTTGGCTCTGTATGTATATGCCATTTGTTACTAAAACCATTTGTAAAAGAAAAAGTCTTTTGTCATTATGTCCTACTCCTACTACAGTTATGTCCAAGCTAGAGTGTGAGTGGCAGTTCAATCAACCAGTAAGGCTATACTGCAATGCATTTTGCTGCCATTTCTTCACTATGCTATTACTAGGGAAGGTGTCTGACTAAGCCATACTGCTTTAATTGTTGTGGAATTACAATGATGTTAAGGATCTGGCTATGCTGCCAGCGATTATTGAATCTGAAGAGTAGCTGTAAAGGATTACAAAGCTTTTGGCAAGTATTACAGTTAAATCCCAACTCCAGACAAAACTTGTTCTTTTGTTTAGAATGGTGAGGGGCAGAGCTAGAGTCTTTATCGGGTTTTTTATTGCCTTCTTCCTGACGGAAAGTGATGGAAAATCTTTCCATTGGCGACACAGACATGAACACATTTTTAGTAGAGTGAGAAAGGTTTATTGCTTCTGACAATGTTTTTATTGCTGTCTGTGCCTTCTCGTCTAGGAATATCTCTTAATATACAGCTTTCATCTTATTGCTATGGGCACCTTCATACTCTCAGTATTTTCCTCTTGTATTTCATACATGACATATAAAAGTAAAATGTGCCAATGAAATATCTTAGTTAAGTGAACCACAACTGAAATTACATATAGTAAGACATAACTGCAGTATCGACTATGAATGCAGAAATAATGTTCCTAAAATTATAAATGCACTTAAAACGTGACACTTACTTATCTCCTACAATACCCAAATTAATGGTAGGATAGCCATGTTCCTGAATTGTTGCAAGAAGAGTTGAGCGATTGCTATCACGTATTTTCCCTGGCATAAGATCATCTTCGGGATTTAAAAGCTGCAAAAGAATGTAGACATACATGGTAGACAATTATTCTATGTACACAGAAATAATTTCTTTGGAAAGCTCTTCTATTTCCATATTCATAAATGTAACAGAATAAGTTCCTCCCTAAATGTACAAAAGTCAAGTGAAGGGCTGCGGTGGATGAATGCCAGTACTTTAATTTCTAGATTCTACTCTAATATTCAGTCCCTTGGCAGAAGCCTTTCAGGAAAACGGGGTAGTTTGCATGTTACTCAAGCTGCTGTGAGTCTAATTTCTTTTGCCTGCGACCCCTTTACATTACTTCCATTTCAATTCCACTGATAGGTAAATCATTACTGCAAAAGTAAGGTAAGTAAAATAAAAAAAGTGCAAACATTATACAGTGACTTCCCTAATAGTTGGCTGTTGGAAGCATACTCTGAATTAAAGATTATTAAACCTAAACAAAAATGTGTTATATAACCAGGTGGACTAAAATACATCTTTGAAAACTCACTTATTCAGGGAATCCACCTCCACCTAAGAACTGTACTTGAGTCACCTCCATCAGATCATCCACCACAGCTATCACCTTTTTGTAAGCACCTTTTGTATCACCTACATTGTAAGTTCCGCGAGCAGTCCTCCTATTTGTTCTGTATTGAACTGTATTGTAATTGTACTGTCCCCCTTTATATTGTAAAGCGCTGCGTAAACTGTTGGAGCTATATAAATCCTGCATAATAATAATAATAATCATCTGACGGGTGTCATCTATAATCCATCCTCATAAGTTGAATGCAATTCCTATTTTTGTATACACATGTACTGCGGATGGGGTATACTACAATAAAGAGCTGTGTTCGTATTTTTTGATGCGTGTTGTTTTTAATGTTCTTGTATGCATTGCTTTTAAATATTATCAACCAGCTTTATACTATATTGATTGGTTATTAAAGCGGAGTTCCACCTAGAAAAAAAAAATAAAAGTCAGCAGCTACAAAAACTGTAGTTGCTGACTTTTAAAATACAGACACTTACCTGCCCCTCAGTCCAGCGGTGTCCGCACAACTGTAGGTTTCACCGGCCGTCTTCTTTCCATGGCGCCAACATCTTCAGTGTGGGCACCTGGCTGTGAGAGCTTGTGGCTTCACAGCCGGGTGCCCACTACACATTCGCGAGAAGTGCTGTTCTTTGTGAATGGCCCCGTAGTCTTCTGGGACCTGTCAGGTGTCCCAGAAGACTACAGGGAGGGAGGGTAGGACGACAACCTTTGCTACCGACCTCCTAGGTTATCGCAGCGGAAGTGGGAGTGGGTACCTGTCAAATTTGGGTACCCACTCCCCCCCACTCCCCAAAGGTGCCAATCCTTAATGGGGAGTGGGGGACAAAGGCTTAAAGCGGAACGTCCCCTTTTGGGTGGGGCTCTGCTTTAATAATAACAAACATTTTGGATTTGATGTGTGTAATTTCTTGAAGGATTAGGCACCTTAAAAAGTTCCTTTATTTTTTATGGTAGTAGTGCAGTCTACTGCAGGTGGTTTGTTGCTGAAGCTGTTTTAAAGGGCAAATATATTAACAAAAGATCATGCATTCTTCATACTGATATATAACGTTAGTTGGCTTTAAAGAGGTCATGTTTTCACTATCAGGATTTTTCAGTGGCTGTTTCCTTTGGAACTCAAAGTCCTTTTAGTCCATTGCTGCTGGAAACATGAAGAAGGGAAGATGCTTGACACCCTCAGACATCTTAATAAAGGGCTCAGCAATCCTAGACTTCCCATTTAATGCATCTTTATAAAGCTTTGAGCTACTTCCTTAAACCTTTGAACTATTATACTGAATCTGACTCTACTAAAGTTTAGAAAATTACCCTCAACTACTCCAACCAAAGCAACCAGAATTTCTTTTCTCTGCTTTTAACACCAGGCCACCAGCAACCCTGCCCCGTGCTCTCTGGGCTACATCTTTTGCACAGTAATCAGCTTACAGTTATTTAGGAAAACTTGCACATTAATATCATCTGGTAATATCTTTCTTAAAAACCGGATTGATTCCCCAGGTACTGCTCCAAGTTTACACTTTTTCAGCAGTTACAGCAACCATTTTTTTTTTTCTTTTGAGATAAAGCTTTTACATAAATAAAAAAAAGTTGATCATTACAAGCACTTCTGTCAGTGTTAAGTGATTTGTCTCAACTCTCTAACTGCTACATCTGCAGGACAGCTTGTTTTGTTGAAGTGAGATCCACTGCCCTGTGCATTAGTATTAAATTATAATATCAGTACTGACAATAACAGTTTCCAAATATGTTATTCTTGGTATCAGTCTGCATCTAAGCAGTTTAAATAGCTTTAGGTGTTTCAAGTGTGTATAGCCACCCTTTCTCTGTAGCCCAGGAAAACACTTCTGGAACTATAAATTAACAAAAACAAAAAGTGGCATAATATCCCAGCTGCACAAACCTCATTTCCAGTTGACATAACTGCAACTACTGGGAACTTATGTACTTCCACTTCTGTGACACCAACAGTTGCCAGTAGACCAATTTCTGATGGTCCCATGTGCGTTCCTTTTGCTAATACACACTCGCCTCTTTTAATATCATGGCCAATTGGTCTGCAAAAAGAAAGGACAGAAAACATTTAAACAGCACATACAATGTTTATCACCAAAAAAAACCCACATTGGGGGGGATTTGCTAAACCTGTTGCACACAGAATCTGGTGCAGCTGTGCTTGGTATCCAATCAGCTTATCACTTCAGCTTGCTCAATTAACTAGTTGCCGACCGCAGATAGCCGAATGACGGCTGCACTGCGGCCGGCCAGTTCTGGGTGGACGTCATATGACGTCCTCCCAGAACGCGCTCTCCTGCGATCTCTCCTGCGACCCGGCGATCTCCGTGATTGCTGTGTCCTACGAACACAGCTGATCACGTGATGTGGTAAAAGGCCAATCACAGCGGACTTTTACCACGTGATCAGCCATGTAAAATGACACGCTGATCACCGGGAAATTCAATTGCCGGTTCTCGGCTGCACTTTCCTCACGCTGTCAGATCGTGAGGAAAGTACTGCCGAGAACCGGCAGTTGTCAGAGTGAGGATCGGCACCGATCATCAGGGCACTGATGATCAGTGCCCTGATGATCGGTGCCCAGCAGTGCCACCCACAAGTTCTGCCCAGCAGTGCGCCCACTAGCTCCGCCCACCTGTGCCCAGATCACCCACCTGTGCCCAGCAGTGCACCCACCTGTGCCACTCTGCAGTGTCACACACCTGTGCCCAGAAGTGACACCTACCTGTGCCCAGCAGTGCCACCCACCTGTGCCCACCCACCTGTGCCCACCAGTGCCACCCACCTGTGCCCACCCACCAGTGCTGCCCACCAGTGCCACCCACCAGTGCAGCCCAGCAGTGCTGCCAGTCAGTGCCACCAGTCAGTGCCCAGCGGTTGTGCCAGTCAGTGCCGCCAGTCAGTGCCCAGCAGTGATGCCAGTCAGTGCCGTCTACCAGTACCCATCATCAGTGTCACCTATTAGTGCTGCATATTAGTGCCGCCTATCCGTGACACCTCATTAGTGCTGCCTATCAGTGCCGCATATCCGTGCCACCTCATTAGTACTGCCTATCAGTGCCCTTTAGTGCTGCCTATCAGTGCCCATCAGTGCCGCCTATCAGTGCCCATCAGTGCTGCCTCATCAACGCACATCAGTGAAGGAGAAAAATTACCTGTTTGAAAAATTTTATAATAGAAACAAAGAAACTTTTTTTTTTTTTTCAAATTTTTTGCAATTTTTTGTTTATAGTGCAAAAAGTAAAGCGCCCAGTGGCGATTAAATGCCACCAAAAGAAAGCTCTATTTGTGAGAAAAAAATGATCAAAATTTCATATGGGTACAATGTTGCATGACCGCGCAATTGTCAATCAAAGTGCGGCAGCGCTGAAAGCTGAAAATTGGCCTGGTAAATAAGGGGGTATAAGTGTCCGGTAGGCAAGTGGTTAAGCTTTGACAATAAACCCAAACCTGGAAGCTGATTGGTCAGGCTACTTTCACACTGATCCACCGCAAAAAAAAACCCAGCAAAAATGCATAGGCATTTTACCACGCTTTCTGTGCGTTTTTATAGGACACATGACTTAAAAACTGCACCAAAAACAAGAAGCGTTTTTTAAGGCATTTTCCATTGATTTTAATGGGAAGAGGTGTTTTTGGGGCGTTTTTTTTCCTCCCCAAACATGCCCCAAAAATGCTTCAAGCAGGAGTTTTTTACACCGCACCGAAAGCGCAATGCCTCAGTGTGAATATATACATAAACATACATTCATATACATAGGGAAGCAGTTTTCTTGATCTTTTCATGTGCTTTTTTTATTGCAAAAACGCTTGAAAAACTCCTCAGTGTGAAAGCAGCCTTACTAAGAACAGCTTCACTGGATTCTGTGTGCACCAGTTTTAAATTTTGTAAATTTTCCCCATTTTGTCTATGCATCTGTGAATACTTATACATCATTATGTATGCCATAAATCACTAACAATTATACAAGACACGATTATTTTATTATGATGATTGAATATGAAGGAGTAGAGGAAGACACCATCCTTTGGACTTTTGTACAGTATATGGGCATTTGTTCATGTCAAAACTGCTATTCTCCCTATATAAATCAATAGAAATGCAGCTTAATAGGAAGTGAAATGCAGGTCAGAAAGAGGTCAGAAACAGTTCTAAAAATCCTTCTGAGTTTCTTTATAAGTGCCTCAAACTGATCTCACATGACAACATGTCTTGTGGTTTCACCCACCAACTCCTTTGTCACTACGGGAAACAGTGGTGACATTGAAGTCAGCGAGAGGAACCACAGTGCAAGGCTGAGGACACACTATCTGACACATAATGTTGGGTAGCACCAGTGCTGGTATCTCTTTATTCAACTGAAAATTTGACTTGTAGCTTACTAGAGAAGTAAATAACTCTCAAGAGAGGCAACTACTTTTTACAGGCTAGTTTAAATACATATATGTGTTACTCTTTCAGGACATTTCAAGGTATTTAGTAACACAAATTGTTGGTGCCATGATACTGGAAATATTCTGTAGATCCTACTCATATACTTTTCGTTAAATTTAGTTTCCTCATATATCTGTGGACTTCATATAAATATTCATTTTACAGGATAACTGTACTTTTAGTACAATGTAACATTACATATCCTACCTTCCATCCACAGAACCTCTGCAAAGGTTCATCTACCCATGTTCCTCCAAGATTTTGGCTGTGTGGTCTACTGTGAGCCACATACAGTATGCAGCATGTGCAGAGGAATCTCCATTCATATGTATTAAGAAATGCTCTTCATAGAATTATATGGAGATTATTCCATGCATGGGCAGAAGAAGTAGAAAAGCCCAGGAAGAAGTTTTATGCATTGATGGCTGTGTGGCTCTCAGCAGACAACAGGAAGAAAATCTCAGAGGAGTGAGCCTGGTGAATATAAGACTTTGGGAGACTGCTGGGGAAAGGGTCATGGGATATGAAGCGACTGGGATTATATTATAAAAATAATAGATTTTTCAAGCATCACCTTATATCTTGCCCTGGACGAGCTTGCACCAATATACGAACTTCCAGTTCTTCTGTTCCCTGTAAAATAAAATGTGTTTACTCCAAAACAAGCAATGCTGACAAGCTGCAAGCAATGGTATGTACAGAATGGGTGGTTTTCACAAAACAAAGATGAAAAACATCTAGGCCAACTTGAAAAAAAAAAAAGAATTAATCCTGTCTTTTGACCTAACTAATATATGCTTGATATGTGGTATGATCTGTGTGGTACTGCACGTGTCTATTTCAACAAAGAAGAAACATTTTTGAGGGATAGAAAGAGCTGCACATCTACTTACATCATCTGATTCTCTAATGAGTTCAGTATCCTCCACTTGCACTACTGCATCAGCACCACATGGAATTGGAGCACCAGTTGTTACTCTCATTACTTGACCTGGCATCACTGTTTGAGTTGGCTAAAGGAAAAATGAGAACACATCACCTTGTAAGAAGTATTACATTTGGGTACAGCACAGCAAACGTGAACATCAAAACTAGTATGCCATGGTAATATTTAATAAATCAGACATAAACAACATCCCTGACCAAAGTTCTTTCCAATTAACATTTATATTGCTAGTATATTTGCTCACAGTTGACTATTTTTCAAAACAAAGCTTAGCTAATGATGCTATTTAACCACTTGCCCTCCTGAAGATTTACCCCCCTTAATGACCAGGCCTCTTTTTGCTACTCGGTGCTGCACTAATTCAACTGATAACTGCGTGGTCATACAATGCTGTACCTAAACGAAATTTATGTCCTTTTTCACACAATAGAGCTTTTTTTTTGGTGGTCTTTGATTGCCTGTGTGCTTTTTATTTTTCGTGCTATAAACAAAAAAAAAAACGAAAATTTTGAAGAAAAACTATATGTTTCAGCTATAAAAAATATATAGTAAACTCAAAGTTAGTTGTAAATTTAGGCTAAAACGTATTCTGCTACATGTTTTTGGTAAAAAAAAAATCCCAATAAGTGTATATTGATTGCTTTGTGTGAAAGTTATAGCATCTAAAAACTATGGTATAGATACTGCAATTTACGCCATTTTTTTTGCTATACAGTGCTGCACTAGTTTAAAGTACAATTGCGTGGTCATGGAATATGGTACTTAAATTAAATTTATGTCCTTTTTTTCACACAAATAGAGCTTTCTTTTGATGGTAATTAATCACCTGTGCGCTTTTAATTTTTGGCGCTCTAAACAAAAAAAGTTTTGAAGAAAAAATTTTGTTTTGAAAAAAACAATATTTTTTCATTTCGGTCATAAAAAATATCCAAAAAAACTAAAATGTCGTTATAAATTTAGGCCAAAATGTATTCTGCTACGTTTTTGGTTAAAAAAAATCCCAATAAGTGTATATTGATAGCTTTGTATGAAAGTTATAGCATCTTCAAACTATGGTTTAGATAATGGAATTTACACAGCTTTTACTTTCTGACTGCTCATCACATTTCTTGAGGTGCTAAAATACCAGGATAGTACAAACACCCCCAAATGACCCCTTTTGGGAAAGTAGACACCCTAAGCTATCTGCTGAGAGGCATATTGAGTACCTGGAAGATTTATTTTTTTCCCACAAGTTTCTGGAAAATTACAAACACATTTTTTTTTTTTTTACACAAAGTTGTCATTTAAATGATTTATTTCTCGCACAAGCCATGGGTATATGTGGAATTACACCCCAAAATACATTCTGCTACTTCTAGCGAGTATGGGGATACCACATGTGTGAGATGTTTTGGGAGCCTAGCCACATACAGGAGCCTGAAATCCAATGACCACTTTGAAACCCGGAAGGTGCATAACTTCATTTCACTTCCTCAATACCTATCACAGTTTCGGAGGCCCTGAAATGTCAGGATAGCACCAAATCTCCCCCCCCCAATTATCTACTTTTGGAAAGTAGACACCCCAAGGAATTTAAAAAGAGGCATGGTGAGTATTTTGCAGATCTAATTTTATCTCACAAGGTTTTGAAATATAAAAAATGAAAAGAAAAAATATGTTTTTGTTTTTTTTTTCTTCCTTTTTCAAAAACTTGTGGCAACAAACGAGATCTGCAAAATACTCAAAATGCTTCTTATCAAATTCCTTGGGGTGTCTACTTTCCAAAGGGGGATTTGATGCTATCCTGGCATTTCAGGGCCTCCACAACTGTGATGGGTAGTCAGGAAGTATAATGAGGAAATAAAGCCCTTTAAAAGCTTGAAGGTGCTTATTGGATTTTGGGGTCCTGTACTTGGCAAGACTGCCAAAACGTCTCTCACATGTGGTACCACCATACTCGGGAGAAGTAGAAGAATGTATTTTGGGGAGTAATTCCACATATACCCATGGCATGTGTGAGCAGTAAATCATTTAAGTGACAATTTTGTGTAAAAAAACAAAACAAAATATTTTTGTCATTTTCCAAATACTTGTGCTAAAAAAATTAATTCTTCTATTGATTCAACATGCCTCTCACCAAATAGTTTGGGGTGTCTACTTTCCAAAAAGGATTTTTTTTGGGGGGTGGGGCATTTTATGCCCAGCATTAGAGGTTTATGCCACACATCATTCACTCTTCTAACCACCTGAAGGTCAAGCCTTTTCTGACATTTTTGGTCACATGAAAAAAATCAGTATTTAAATTAAATTAATTTAAACACCCAAACATTATATATTTTTTAAAGCAAACACCCTAGTGAATAAAATGGTGGGTGCTACAATTTTTTATGTCACACAATACTCACGCAGTGATTTTTCAAAAGCAAATTTAAAAAAAATACACTTTTTTTACTTTTAATGCACAAAAACACAATATATTGGCCAAATATTTGGTAAAGTATAAAAGATGATGGTATGGCGAGTAAATAGATGCCAAACAATGCATGATTTAAAACTGTCCCTCGTGCAATGGCGACAAACTGCATACGTTTTTAATATCCATAGGCAACGATTTAAAAGCCTTTACAAGCTACCATTTTAGATTTACAGAGGAGGTCTAGTGCTATAATTACTGCCCTTGATCTGACGTTCACGGCAATACCTCACATGCATGGTGCAATTGCTGTTTACATACCGGCGCAGGATCAACGCTAGCGCACACAGGTTTTTTTTTTGTTATTTTGATTTTTTTAATTATTTTTACACTGTCCCTTTCATTTTTTATCACTTTTAATGCTATCACAGGGAATGCAAATATCCCCTATAATTTCAATAGGCATTGTCATATATTCTTATTTTAGAAATCTGGGGTCTATCAGACTCTAGATCTCTCCTCTGCCCTTACATCACCTAATCAAACCAAGATCAGTGTGATCAGATGCTTTCCCAATTTACAAATGGCGCTGTTTATATCCTGCAAAACTGAAAAGATGAAATGCTGGTAGCTTCTGATTTATTAGACTATAGAGATGATTGGCACCATTCTGGTCTCCAATCAGCCCTATGATCAGATGGCAGAAACACCAGTTGCATTCTCAGGTTCCCCTGATGACATGGGACTGCCTGAGAAGGCCGTGGAAGGCAGCGGGGGGGGGGGCATCATCTCCCGCTGCTTGTAAAAGCAATCCTGCAGCTAATTAGACACTAGGGTTGCTTTTACATGAAAGCCAATCGCTGGCTGAAAAAAATGATACCAGGTTGATGCCTGCAGCTGTAGGCATCATCCTGGTATAACCATTCAAAGTCCAGTACATTGCTGATCCTTGTTGGGTATATATGCTATGTTCTTTTTTTTTTGTATGCAGCCTGTGGACTGAATCAAAAAAAAGAGAAGAAATCTCTGCCAGAAAAAGTGTGTGGTATGCCCACCATTAGAGTATACTGCCCTGCATCCACCCACTTCTAATGGTGGGCACACATTAGGTCACACGGTGCCACATGCACCAGTTCCAAGATTGTACAAATGTCTAAATAGTGGCATGCTTGAATAAAAATTGTCCACGTATAAGTGGTACCCCATATTGAAAAAGGATGACGCCAAGTCCCAAACTATCTTGCCACTGCTCCCCATGTAGTCTGAGCATCCGGGGAGCTCCATGTGATCTTTTCCCTCGTAAATCCGAAACTTACAAGTATAGCCTGTTGCCTTTTCACAGGTCTTCTACTTCTAGACCCCATATTTGGCATGCTTGCTGAGGAGAAATTGTTTGAATGCAAGGCGGCCAGAACAATTAATGAGGGACTCATCAACGCAGATTTTTTGCTGAGGAGTATAGACATCTGCAAATTTTTGGTCAAGGTGATTTGCGAGGGGCTGAATTTTGTGGAACCAGTCAAATTCAGGGTCACCTCGAGGACGACAGAGTATATTGTTGTTGAAATGCATAAAACACATCATACTCTCATATCTATGCCTGGCCATGGCAGCAGGGAACACGGGCATATGATGAACGGGGTCTGTGGACCAATACAACCGCAATTAATTTTTTTTTGTAATGCCCATGTTGAGGGTAAGGTCCAAAAAAAATTTAAATTCAGAAACCGTGATGAGTTTCCATGTGAATGGTCTGGCATGGTTTGAATTTGGGATGGCGGGAATAAATTGTTGTGTATATAAATTGCTTTGATCCACAATCAATGCATACAGATCTTCCGTGAAAAACAGCTCCAAAAAATCAAGGGGAGTAGTTAAATTTGCTGTTTCCACCTGAATTCCGGGTTGGGCAGTGAATGGGGGAAGTACGAGTGCTGCAGAATTTGTGGGCTGCCAATCGGGATTTGCAAGCACATCTAAAAGGATACTAGGGGCTCTACAGGCCTGTTTACGAATTCTTGGTGGTTGCAGGACAATACTTTGTGCTCGCCACCGCACCAGCTTGTACAACACTTATGGGACTCACCACTTCAAAAAAGTGATACTGCTGTGCTGGTATTATTATTATACAGGATTTATATAGCGCCAACAGTTTGCTCAACGCTTTACAATATAACGGGAGACAATACAGCAACAATACAGTTCAATACAAGAGGGTTAGGAGGGCCTGATCCTGGGAGCTTACAATCTAAGAGGTATGTGAAAGACCAGGATATACTAGGCCACTAGTGCTCGCTGGTTCACCAAAAGATAGCGTGGCACTAGTACTGGCACTCTGACCTGTCATTATGAGTCAAAGCTGGAGGTAAGCGCAATAGAGTGTTGGAAATGGATGAGCACTAAGGGGTGACACAGGAGCACCGTACATGTGTATACAGTAGTGTGTTACACTGGTCTATTTGAAGTACAGTGGATTTAAAGGGACTGTTCACCATTTTTTAGATCATATTCCGATGACACTTATAGTTGGTGTATTTGGATCACGATTTATGGGATATATACCACACAAGTCCACATGCAGATATTCAAGATTTAAAGGGACAGTTCACTATTAAGGACAATTTATTTGTTATTTATGTGCACAATTCATTTAGAGCACTGGTTATGTGCAGTTTATGGAGTCCTATATGTATGTATTGGTTAGACATCTGGTATAGCACACATTGATTTTCACAAGCACAGTCTTTTGTTTTTGCACGTGTTTATTGTTAGCACTATATTTTGTATATATCTTGTTGCGCTGCATTTTTCCATTTATTGATCTGATCCTTGCTGGATGCCTGCATCTCTTACACAGGTTTTGCTCTCAGAATACATACATCAGTGCCTGTAGCACTGCAGAAGGAGATTTCTCATCCACAGTTAAAAAAAGAATGTATATGTCCAAGAATGAGGGGCCTGTGGTGGACAGTGGGCGGATCGCTCCTACGCTTCAGCATATAATTTTTAGCACAGATTTCATTTTAAAAAAGTTAGTTGTTTTTATCGAGTTAATGTTATATCGTTACTGTGTGTTATTGTTTGAGCGATGTTGTCTGCTTTGCAGGAATGCCAGTCAGCTGCAGCACTGGTCTGTTTATTCTAACAGCAACAGAGTGCTACTCTCAGAATACATACATCAGTGCTTGCCGTGCTGCAGGAGACTTCTCATTTGCAGTTAAAAAAAGAGAGTATATGCCCAAGCATGAGGGGCCTGGGGTGGTCAGTGGGAAGATTGCTCCAATGCGTTGGCATATATTTTTTTTCACTTTTCTTTTTTGGCAGAGATTTCTTCATCCACATCGATCAATGTGAATGGAGGCTGCATGAAAAAAAAAGAACATTTCATACAGTATATACCCAGCAAGGACCAGCGAAGTACCAGTATGATTCTGGACTTTGAGTAGTTATACCAGGATTGTTTTTTTTCAGATGGCTTTCTTGTAAAAGCCATCCTATTGGCTAATTAGCAGCTGGATTGCTTTTACAAGCAGTGGGAGGGGACATCTCTCCCCCCCCCCCCCGACTTCCACAGCTTTCTCGGGGTCTCTTGTCCCACTGAGGAACCCGGGAATGCAGCTGGTGATTCCGCCAGCTAACCATAGAGCTGATCGGAGACTGGGACTGCCCCAAACATCTCTATGGTCTAAGAAACCGGAAGCAACGAGCATTTCAGAACTACAGTTTTGCCAGATGTAAATAGCAACATTTTTATATTGGGAAAGCATCTGATCACACTGGTATTGGTGTGATCAGATGCTTTAAGGGCAGAGGGGAGATATGGAGTCTAACAGACCCCAGATTTCTCAGTAAAAAGTACAGGTCACTGTCTATTGCTGTCACAGGGGATAAGTACATTCCCTGTGATAACAATAAAAGTGATTAAAAAAATTAAGGGACCGTGTAAAAAAACAAACAAACAAACAAAAAAAACTAAAGCTCCCCCATGCGCAATGGTAAATGCACTTGCTGGTCCTGTGTTGGTATGTAAACAGCAATTGCACCATGAATATGAGGTATTACCACGAACATCAGATCAGGGACAGTAATTCTAGCACTAGACCTCCTGTGTAAATCTAAAGTGGTAACCTGTACAGGATTTTAAAGCATTTCCTAGGGATATTAAACATTTATGTTGTTTATTGCTATTGCACAGGCATGCGCAATTTTGAAGCGTGACATGTTTGGTATCTATTTACATGAGTACGTTTTTGAAAAATGAAGAAAGAAAACAAAAACCGTGTGACAAAAAATTAGATCTGCAAAATACTCACTATGCCTGTAATCAAATTCCTTGGGGTGTCTATGTTCCAAAAAGGGGTAATTTGGGGGGGGGGGGGGTGAAGGCTGTACTATCCTGGCATTTCAGGGCCTCCAAAACTGTAAGGAAGTGGCATGAGGAAATACGCCCTTTGAAAGCCTGAAGGTGGTCAGTTGATTTTGGGGGCCTGTACAAGGTTAGACTGCCAAAACGTTGCTCACATTTGGTATCCCCATAATTGGGAGAAGTAACAGAATGTGTTTTGGGGTGCAATCCCACATAAACCTGTGGCATGTGTGAAGTAAAAGCTGCATAAATTCCTGCATGTATACACAGTGCTGAATAGCAAAACATGGCCTGGTCATGGAGGGGGTAAAACCTTCTGCAACTCAAGTGAATACAGGCATTCATGGTGGATCAGAGGCACAAATGACATTTCTTGGATTCTTTTTATTTGTTGTGCATTATTTGAGTATTTGTGTGTGAAATAAAGCCTTAAAGCAAAGTGAGCTTTTCCAGCAATGATCCTGCCACCGGCATAATGCAGTGATTGTAAAGGGCCCTCCTTCATCAGGGCTTAAAATTGCTGGTAAGAACCTGGATAGTCTCAGGCTTGAATGGAATAAAAAAGAAAAAACCTTTTGCTACAGTGGCTCTATGCGTAATCTAAGGCCTTGGCTTAATCAGGTGGGAGGATGATTTTTTTTGTAGCACCTTACAATAGAAGTCCTATGACATTACAGACCAAGTTCACTTGGAAATTCTACCTTTGAGAGATTACAATCTTCAATGGACTCACAGGAATCAGCAAAAAAATATACACTGTCTCACTACATCAAAGTTATACAACAGAGATAAAGAAAAGATACAAAGGCTCATAAAAGCAAAAAATGGAAAAAAATCCATCACATGATAGTAGGTAGCAGTCATAAGAAGCCCTAAGAACCACAACTGAGAATAAGGATGCAGTACTGGGGTCCTGGAACAGTAGATTCAGCTGATCCAGTAGATGCCATGGAATGTCTATGAACTGATGAACCAGGTTTGAGTACTAGGTCCTTCTGGGTTAGTCTGGAACTATGAGAATGCCTTCTAGAACAAAAACAATCTTCTGCACACAATGGAAAAATAGGCTTTTTTACCAGCTAGTAAAATATGTTTCTTAGAGTTCAGTGCAGGACACAGACTCTTTAGTCTTTACTATTGGAGTATATGCAACTACATTTAAATGATTGACACCGACAAAAAAAGCTTCTAGGAAGTCCCCTATATAGTCCATCCCACTCCCAGCTAGTCTCAAGGTTTGTAGCAAGTAACAGGAAGATCATTAGAACAGAGCGGAAGAACAGAGGGGTCTCCTGTAATGTACTGCAGCAAACAGATTTCACTAGTAAGTCAATTTCTTAGAGGCACAGTACTTGGTTGTTATTTTGTCATACTATATTGGACATAGGCCCTTTGAGTTTTTACATAGGGACATTTTAAAAGCAGTCAAACTGAGGGGTGGCTATCACAGCAAAAACACCAACATACCCATGTAACAACAATGGGCTTGATAGAGAGCAGCCTGCAGCACCTTACATCCACAAATGTCATCAGAAAAAGCCAGAAAATCCACCTGGTAGAACTTATCCCACAGTCACATCAAGCCCAACTTTGAAATCGTGCGACTTACAGTGAAGTCACACAATTTGAAAGTCGGGTGAGATGCAGATTTCAGGTGCGATTTGCAAGACCTCTGACACAGAAGTCTATGCAAATCGCACCAAAAGTAGTACATGTACTACTTTAGAAATGGGTGCGGCTCTGACCAAGTTGGAACCGCACAGATTTGACTGCTCTAATTTCGGACAATAGGGTGCAACTTGGCATACGATTTGCAAATCACATGGCATGCAAATCGCATGCCAAGTCACACCCGATGTTACCGGGGTGTTAAAGTGGACCTTTTCCCCCTTTCCCTAAAATTCACATTAGAATGCATCTGTGCATGCTGATGTGAAATCACCTAATCTAATACCTGGTTTTCCCAAAATGCAGTGGTGATGTAGCCATAGTCGCACAGATGCCACTCTGGAAAGGCAACATCACTGGGAAATCTCGAACCTAAACTGAGATATCTTGCAGTATTGTCATAATGCGCATGCACAAAATAAAGTGCGTGATACCACAAACCTAATTTTGCAAATGTGGCATACAAAATTACATTCAATTTAAAAACTGAAAAATAGAGATGCTGCAAGGTCAGGTTTTGATAAGACAAACACATGGATATTCACAGATTGACCCTCACCTGTTCTCCAGCCTGTGACTCCCCTATGATGAAGCGATCCCCTGGGCCATCTGCAGCTGTGAAAATATATATACTAATAAATAACTAGGAGAACAAAACTGCATGAAAGTTAAAGACTACAGCAGGATGAAGTTTTGCATGAAAGTTAAAGACTACAGCAGGATGAAGTTTTGCATGAAAGTTAAAGACTACAGCAGGATGAAGTCTGATACAGTCTTATCTTATAATACAATATCAGTGCTTGCAGAATTTTACATACAATACAGTGATTTACCTCTTACTGCATACCCATCCTTTACTGATGCCGGGAATGGCGGTAAATTGTCTTTTGCATACACCTCTTGGGCAAGCACGCGTCCCATTCCATCTAGGAGAAAAAAAAAATAAAGTAATAAAAGTTTAGCTAAAATTACTCAATTTAAAATGTAAGTAACATGATGATCAAAAGGCTCCAAAGCCAAGCAGCCTCCAATTTCAAGTCCCTTCTTAGTTTTTAATAGCCTGTCCTGTTCACATAGTAAATGGGACTGACAAGCAAACTAGACTGTGAAAATAAGTGAATTCATCTAAACATTAGAACATTTAAAGGCAAAGTTCACCTTTTTCTAAATGCCAGCTCCTCTATGTACCAGTATAGCATTTATGTACTTCTTTGCAAAAATGCAAAAGCTTTCCATTTATGCTATACACCCTTACCTCCGGGTCGAGATGGCTGTATAAAAAAGCGTATCCATTACTTCTGCAGACTTCAGGCCATGACACAGGAAGGAGTTGACCAGCTGACCTCATTAGCACACACCCTGCATCATCTACCCTCCTACCTACCACTCACCAAGCAAAGCAGACCAGGTTTGCATGATAAAAATGTACACTGCGTTGCTGTGCTGCTAATTAACCTAAACATTTTATTTTATTTAATGAATCAGATAATAGTCAATTGGGGTGCTGCTGCTGACTTTCAGCAATACTAATAAAAAAAAAAAAACATATACAAAAATGTGCATTTAACGTAGGGTGTTGTGTAGGCTATTCTCTAACACTATGTACAGCTTTAAGGCATGCACCTAACTTTATATAGGTCCCAGATTCCTGATGTCACACCATTAAATGCAGTACCAGCAGTCCTGCATTGTACAGGAAGACACTGTGGGCCCACCCATAACCCAGGATGTCGGATAACAAAGAAGAGCATGTGTTGCTTGGGGAGTGAATGACAAATAAATGCATATCACCTTATACATCATTCCCAAGGCAAAACAAGCAGTTAGGGCCCCCCTTCCCACTGCAAGGGTAAAGATTTTTTTATCCTTTCAAAGATAGGCTTTCAAGGTTTTCAATGTTGCCCTCAAAGTGCAAATTCCTGCCAACTCAGTCATCACTAAGGCTGACCACATGTTTAGTGCTAACCCCTTGAGAACCTATTTTCCTGCATAGCCAGGCAACATGCATTTTGCCTGGCTTCCATTCAGAGTCAGTAACCAGTCCATGGACTAATTTCTGGTGATTTATTTAGGGGTAAACAACTCTGATAGGGTCTAGGGGTATATGGATTTCTAACCTGACTTGGAACCAGTACTCTGAGGACAAACTTCCTAAATTCTGCAGAAAAATGTAGGATCCTGGACTTTCTACTTCCTCTGTGGTGGCAACTGTCTCTTGATAGATCAGTACCACAGTCTCTGTGAGGAGCACCTGGTCCTCTCTAAGTGAACCTCTTCAGACCCCAGCTAGGAGATGCCCATCCACCGGGCTGTCTTTGAAGAGTATCCCGGAGCAAGAGATTCTGGAACAGACTTGAAGCTCTGTCTCAGGGACAGCTGATTGGGTATAGCACCTAGCAGCCCTCTCTTTTGTAGGCCCAGGGGGTGTAACAGTACTCACACTGTCCTTGTGTCCTGTAGCTTGGATAAACTGCTTCCAGGCTTTCTGCTTGCCTGGTTTACTTCCAGGCTAACAGGTTGTCCTTTCTCAGTGGACTGTAGGGCAGTGCAGCTCCCTTTGTTAGCTTCCTTCTCCCATCCTTCTGGCTTTCAGCCTAGAGGCAGTAGCCCCCTTCTCTTGGGTCCCCTCCCAGGCTACACAGCAGCATACCTCAGCAATCCATCTTCCACCTGACTCCTCTGTTGTAGGCTCTTCCATATTTATGCGCCAGTCTGCCACACTGCCAGGCCTCCTGCCTGGGATTGGTTGGACTCCCATGAATATGCAGATCAGCATCTACTGGCCTCCACCGTCTAGCTTCTAGAAACTTCTCTAAGGTTCTAGAACCAGGGGGAGGTACCAGAGGCCTGATCTGTACAGCCCTCCAGCCGGTCCTAAAGTAAACTCACTGACTCACACCCAGGCTTCTAGCAAGCCTCTAACTACACTACCAACAATGTACACCAGAAGGCGCTACTACACATGAATCAGTGTTTATGATCAGATAGTGGGCTGACTGAAAAACAACATATTCCCCCATCCACACAAGCAAGGTGGATGAAGGAATCCTCCTTGTGGTGTATTATGAAAGCAAGGACTCCTCCACTGTTCAAAAGCGCTGCCCAGTGCTGCAGCAGATTGGCTGCACTGTTGATTGAACAAAAATTTTCCAACAAGCCAGTTCCAGAAAAATGAATAATTAGACTGTCTTCTCTGGAACAACAGGAACAGCCATAAATTGATCAAAATTTGGTCCCTGCTGACCTGAGAGAACTTCGATATGCCTATGGCTAGCTGAGAAATTTTTACACAACGAGATGAATGAGATCTCACAATACAAGAAGAAATGGAACGTGATGAGATAAAAACATAATCCAGTTAACAGCTTCTTATTAAAAACAGGATAAATAACTTGCTCCTAATAGTCTCTGTCATTATCCTGAATCTTACAACACGTTTGTTGGCAGAGGACAGTATAGTGCAAATAAAAGTAACGTACCTCTGTAATTTATGATTTCAGTCCCAAGAACTGGAGTCATTTCCAGGACAGTAATAAAGGCTTTATCCATGGATGTTAGTGGAAACGGAGACATGCGGTGTCTTCTTGCTACCTTGGTGATATCAACGGCACTATGACCTTTAGAATAAATATACTGAGAATGAACATTTGAAAAATATAAAACGATTTTCTATTTGAACATTAGAAATAACAATTACTCTGTGTACACTTGCTATTAAATAATATGATTGAAAAAATTGCCATAGTTATGAAAAGATATATTATAAGCAAAAAAGTCCTTCTTAGTGAGGTTTTAGCTGCTGAAATGAAGCATAAATCTCACCAGATATTAGTTTCCTATCAATGTGCCAACAATTCTTATTATTCTTGAATTTAGTGACTGCATACAGTTTGTTTTGGCAGGCAAATTACAACAAATGGCTTATTAGCACAGAAGTTATTTATACCGCTGTTGCTTTGCAAACCCAAAAGAAGGAATTGTTCATCGCTTCAAAATAATGTAATAGAAAGAAGACATAATTTCAACTTGTGACTGACAATGAGTATTAGTATATTGACAGGAGTTAATAAGGAGTATGCGTAAGCCCTGATCCTTTTTGCTTTATAATAGTCATTCTTAGTCTTCTTCCCTTTGCTCTTGCTACTCTTTATCAGCTAACCTATTGATCAGTGCATTGTCCAAAAGCTCCAAACAGGTCTATATATAGTAAACTAAAGTTGTAGCCTATAGAAAAGCCTGGATTTGTAATTAAAACCTTTCCAGACCTGGGTAAAGGTAGTCAAGAGACAACATAGTTTAAAAATGTCCATAGACCAAACGATTGTAAAATTCTAAAGGGAAGATCACATATGCCACCATATACTTCTTCAAAGAGATCAATCCCTGTGAGATTGTTCCCCAAAAAAACTTGCAATAAGAATATTAAGGCTGGTGATATATCAAATTAATTACCATACAGTACATAAAAAATGCATGACCATACATCCAGAAGGGTGTCTTGAGCTGTACCCTGATGTCACTTGCATTCAAACAGCTGTAATATATACTCACCAGCCACTCTATTAGGTACACCTTACTAGTACCGGGTTGGACCCCCTTTTGCCTTCAGAACTGGCTTAACTCTTGGAGGCGTTCATTCAACAAGGTGTTGGAAACATTCCTCAGAGATTTTGGTCAATATTGATATCAGTTACTATTAGCTTTATATCATCTCAAACCAGTCTGCCCTTTCTCCTCTGACATCAACAAGGCATTTTCATTCACACAACTGCAGCTCACTGAATATTTTCTTTTTTGGACCATTCTCTGTAAACCCTAGAGATGGTTGTGCGTGAAAACCCCAGTAGATCAGAAGTTTTTGAAATATCAGACCAGCCTGTCTGGCACCAAGACCCATGTCAATTCAAGGTCACTTAAATCCCCTTTCTTCCCCATTCTGATGCTCGGTTTGAACTTCAGCAAGTCGTCTTCACCACGTCTAGATGCCTAAATGCATTGAATTGCTGCCATGTGATTAGCAATTTGTGTTACCAAGCAACTGAACAGGTGTACCTAATAAAGTGGCTGGTGAGTATATATAGAAATCACCTTTAGCCAAGCTGAATGTCTAACAGGTCAAAGAATGACCAAATAAATAGTCCTGAAGGTGGCTGGCACGGGACGAGGACCACCTTGGACCCAAATTCATCCTCTGTTAGTAAATGGTCAAAACAATATATGGTAGGTAATACATCACGCAGAGGTCCATGAAGAACTGAAAGCTTGCCACCTTTGTGTTAAATTCAAATACGGCCTATGTAAGAAGTGCCTACCTACTGTCACATCAGGACATGCACGTCAACTAGGAATACTAAGCAAATGGTAAATTCTAAAGGGCACTGCTTAGCCACAATTAAAATGACTACATATTTAAAGTGATAAATAACAAACATGTCATATTTACCTGCTCTGTGCAATGGTTTTGGAAGGAGCAGCTCGGATCCTCCTTTTCTCCGGTCCCCCGCCGGCACTCATGGCCCCTCCCAAGCAGCTTGCTATGGGGGCACCCAAGCAGGCTTTCTCCCGAGTTGCTGCTCCATGTGTCCATTCACATACAGAACATTGGCTCGGCCCTGTCCCCTCTCTCTCCTCATTGGCTCACTGGCTGTGATTAACAGCAGCAGGATCCAATGGCTATCTCGGCCAATGAGGAGAGAGGGTCCCCAGAGAGCTGAGGCTCTTGTGCACATTGCTGGATTGCTAAAGGGCTCAGGTATGTATTAGGGGTGCTAGGAGGGCTGTTGCACACAGAAGATTGTTTTGCATAAAAGGTAAAAAACCTTGATCCTTTACAACCACTTTAATATAAGATGGCAAATTAGCAACATGTTGAGCATAGGTCTACATTAAGGTATCTATGTCTATATTCAGAACATGCCCCTGCCTTAAAATGTCACATGGGTAATAATGCCAGTATGGTGACAATCAAGAGTACAGCACAACTCTGTTTGCATATCGGGAAGTGCTGCTTAGACAGTTATACTAGCAAAGATATCTCCAAATCAAAAATACATAGGTGATCGAATTCTAACTAATTCTAATGAGAAACCATAAAGGTCTTGCTATAAGGACGCATGTTAACATTTCTCAGGATAGAACCAGGAGAAGGAACATGAGAGCACATGCTCCAGAAGCAGATGGCAGAAACACTGCTTGTAACAGATTGAAAATGGTAAACTAAACTGGGAGAGCCAGTTTTGGCAGGGAAAGTTGCCTGCTAGCTTAGAACAGGTAGCCCAATTGAGGTATCCAATAACAGGTGAACTTTGCCTTCAAAAAGAAGGGCTTCAGACAGTCAAATCTCCTATGTAAACCATTGCTCTTGCAGCAGAGGTTGTAGAAGACACTTGTTCATGTTCAGACCTGTCTGGCCTGTAACAGACAGTTGGCTTATTAAACATTTTCTGAGCTTAGCAATAGTGAACAGTTGTTGAAAGAAAGAGGTAGTCAATGAGTGAGCATACTGGAACCTGAGTAACAGACTCCGAGAGGACCAGTCCCGCAGGGAGACTAGGACTAGATCAGCAAACAAAATAGTGTGACAATTAGCCAGGATGGTGGAAAATCTTCAATTTCTGCATTTTTGTTACATTTCATGGAAAAACAGAAGTGGAAAGGAACACTTTCAATTCTAGGTAAGTGCCTTACGAAAAAAAAGAAAATTATCTGCACCCATCTCCTATTTTCGATCATACTCCATGCACTCTTCTTCTGTTTTTCTGCACGTATTGCCCCATTATCATAACCTTAGATCCTTTTAACACGTGCGGAATGATTGTCCATTTTTCATCCATCCGTTGACGAATGAAAACGGTCATCAATGCATCTCTATGGAAAAACGGATGATCATCCATTTACATCTGCATTCATCAACATCTGTTTTTTGAAACAAATCAAAGTTCTATCTATTTTCAGTTAAAAAAACCCAGAACGGACGAAAAACAGATGTAAATGGACAAATGGTTTGTTTTTGCAATGGTAGTGAAAGTAAAAACTGATGAAAAACTGATGTAAACTTCATCTGGTTTTTTCTTTGAAAAAACGTGACTGAACTTATGAAACGAGAGGTCTGCACATGTAAAAGAGAATTTAGACACTCCTTTTCTGTGTATTCTGCACTCCTCCAGCAGTTGTGCACAGATGCTAATGTAAGCACCATGTCCAACATCCCGAGAGGTTACTGGAGTCCTCCCGCGGGAACAATACAAAAGGATAGGACTGCTGACACTTATGTTACACTGTTTTTTTGGAATCAGCATTGGCAAATATACAACAAAGGTCAGAACATTGTGCCCAGGAGTATCTTATTAACATTCATGTGTTCAGCTTTTATAGTGAAAAGTAAAGGTAAGTTATGCAATTTGTGTACATTGGAAACTGACCCAGATTAGACTAATTAGGTTGATTTAGATGCTGATTTTCACTTTTTTTTAGTTCTAGTGACTTTTGACAGACTCTTTCATGTTCTCTTGTATGTCATCTTTCCCCATGCCTGCAGATAATTCTTCAGAGACAAATGCAATTAAAAAAAAACATTTACCCAACACAGCAGCTGACATTTCTGGTTTTTCAGTGTGCCATTTCTAAAGTGGGCAGGTTTTACAATAGTATAAACAATGCTGAAGTGTGTTTTAGTAGGTACCAAGAGAGGAGTGCTTAGGATATGACAGCAAGCAGCATGTACAGAAGAGTGCTTAGGTTATGACAGTAAGCAGCATGTACAGGACAGGACTAACCCAGGTCACTGAGCCACTTCGGACTATGGAGGCATCCCAACTTTAAAGTCAGGATCCAACTAGATTCCTGACTGGCAGCTGACTCAGCTTTTCAGCTCACCACTGAGTGTCTAAGCCAGCTGTTGTCGCCCCCGCCCCCTCCACAGCCCTGCGCTCAAGTGAAAGCTGGAGAGGTAGACAGTCACTGGCTCTCTGCTCACTGAAGACCGAGAAATGAGCGATTATCTGTCTTTAGTTGCTCAGTTCTTGGTCTTGGAGGCGGAGGGAGACAGATCCAGCATCAGACTGATGCTGTATTCATCTAAGTATCTGAGTATGTATGTTTGTTCTAAAATCCTGCACTTCTCTTTTAAAACCTGTTGTGATAGATTTTCTTTATGAAGCCATCTATTAGGCTAAGTTCACATCTGTGCAGGTGGTGCCGCTGCGGATCCACACTGTGCATCTGTGCAGCCGCACCACCCGCACAGAGAAATGCAGACCCGCGGGCGGGTGCCATTAGTTCTAATGGCACGCCACCCGCACTGGAAAACGCAACCGTACTAAGAACTGAGGTGTGTTGTCAGAAGTGCAAGGACTTCTTCCCTGCATGTCACGGGGCACGGGAGTCCATTCAAATGAATGGGCTCTCGTGCCCGTGCAAAACATGGCCTGCATGGCCGCATGTATGTGAACCAGGGCTAAAACCACTCCTGCCTACTCTGTGACCATCAGATACAGATCAGGATTGGGGATCAGTCCCCAATTAGCATCAGAGCTGGTACACTAAAGCTCTGAACCTGAAGTACACAACACAGTAGACTGCTGACGGCAAAATCAAAAACACAACTACATGGCCACAC